TATATATATATTAAATGAACGACAATATGCATGATCCTAAACGGCCTGTTATAATGGGCTGAGTGACCACTTGAGCTACCTTCACACCACAAAGCCAAGCCCCGTGTTCGAAAGAACCTGGTTTATGAAGATGGTTATTCGCTCGCTAGCGACAAGATTTGCGAATAAGCGTAGAGTGAATCGTCCCGAAGACAAGCTCTCAAGGGTAATCCTAGCGAGCAGCGACAAGATCTGTGTCTAGCAAAAGGAACAAACTCTGTCGAGGCAAAGACCCCGCCGATCAAGCGGGTCGACAGTATGTGGTGAGTTATGTCTGATGCAAATCAGTCTGTCGAGGCGTCTAAACCGGTCATTATGGGAAGTAGTTGAGAATGTGATTTGATTCCCAATCAACAACTTAAATTAAATAAATCCTTGGAAGCTTAAAGGGCGACCGACGAGTGCATGACATCCAAAGTTCGGGGGACTAGCGCTGAAGGTGACCAAGACAAAGATTAGTGATAAGATCCGAGGCAAGTCCAAAGGGTTGACTCAGATGCAAGTATCTCTAGAGGCGACGCACCAGCATGACAGAAATAACAAAACATCTCGATCGGACGGCCTGTGTTGCAGATTGACTCACGAGATGAGAAAATGATCAATCAAAAAACACAACCAATCCAAAAAGAAAAAGCATGAACTAACCAATTTTTCTCATATATTCAAAAAAAAGTGATACAATATCTTTTTTTCCGACAAAAATAAAAAAAAAGAGGGAGAGAAGTTCTTGTTTCACAGGATCTGAGCAAGTGGCCAAACCTCCTTCATTGCCTGAATCATCCTCTCCTTCGAAACTTTCAACCGGCTTGTCCCAGGTCAGAGCAGAGAACTCATTCCGGTCATAAAACTTAGAATTAACCAAGCCACGATGAACGAATTGTTGAATGACATAATTCACCCTAAGTTTAAGAAACTTCGCCCAACTGTCCTCATACTGTCCCTTGGAGACCGACGAGGCGACCTTCTCCTTCAACTCAGCATTTTCTTTCTCCAAGGCTACTACGGTGCCAAGAGATTCTTTGTTGGCCCTGACGAAGTTGTTCAACTTCAGCTCCCACATGTCTCGATTGTCGCAGGCCTTTTCAATTCCGCCTCAAGCGAGGCCTATTTCTTCTGAGCTCCTTCTCGCGACCGCTCTAGATCGATCAAGGCTAACCCCAGAAAATGGACGCCATCAGCTGCCATAGGTCCACATTCTGGAGAAGCTCTTGATGAATGAAACCTCTCATAGCACGAGCGAGCCCCCTAACCATAATAGGTTCTGCCAAGCCGAGGGTAGTTCCCTATTGTCGTCTATTTGCGGGTACAAGTTTAAAGACTGAATCACTTGTCGACCACTTGCCATACCATTCCGACACTTTTGTGGATGGGCCCCCACACGAAAGCCCAATTCTTCATCTTCAACGAAAAAGGGTGGGATGTCTGCTTCCTCCATCGACTCCTTTCCCCGCCGACGTACCTCTGTTCCCTCTGGTTAAGGTGGGACCTCACCTTCGGAGGATGAAGTCGACTATCCTGATGAAGAGTTAAACATGACAGAAGCAGCGGCCTCGCTATCCTTGTCCCTCTCAGACAGGGGAACGAAGGAAGAATCCCCAAGCTGGGAATTCGTCAAAGCAACGATGATCGATAATGCGCCAGTCTACGTGTCAGTTGTAGAAGAGGAGGGAGCTGCAGCTGCGATCTCTTTTGGATCTCCCTCAGAAGCATACACTCCTCTGTCACCTTCCTCTGCATCAACAAGATGAGAAGCACGTTTTTGAGAAATAATAGCAACCTTGGCGGTCACCGTGTCTTAAATAACAATGGTAATTTCAGACACGGAGAAGGTATGCCTCGAGGCCACACTATAAGAAAGCGGGTCCCCATCTTCTGTGGGTTTACCTGAAGCCGCAGAATGCTTCTGCTTTTGAAGTTTAACGTTGAGTTTGACCTTCATTGCCCTCGCTCGGATATGCTCCCTGATTTTGGAGAGGCGCCACAGTTCCTCGATCATCTTGCCCGTCAGCACACAAGTAACTGTAGCTTCGGCGGTGTATTGAGGGACCGAGAGGTAACGGCCGGTCAACATTGCCTGACCAACCTCCTTGCTCTCCGGAAGGGAATTCGGCCTGCGCACTATTTTCTTTGACGGCCCAGTCCAGATTCCCCAGGGCCTGAACAAGAGAACCAAAAATTTATCCCAGCAAGTGGAGCTCCTTGCCCGTCAACAACATGACAAATCCCCCCAATCGACCTTGAATGAAACAAAATGCGTGAATAATTCGATCGACCTAGAGATGCGCTCCCGATGATAGTAGAGGATGAAGGTCATCACAACAACTATAAGTATTTGTGCCAGAATAATCCCGTATATATTAAAAACGCTATGGAGCTCTTCGCAGAGGCAACCGGAGGCCATATTTGAACTGGTCCCAATAAAAGACCAGATCGTTCCACACCAAGTTTGTCGCTGGAGCCACTCCCAACAACTTCTAAAAAGTGACGCTACCATCCAACACCTATCTCTTCTACAACTCCTTAACTTCGCTCTCCGTAAAAAAACGAGTGATCAATACCCATGACGAAGCCAAAGAAGGTGGGGGAATACTTCGAGGCCATTTCCGAAAACAAAGAACGGCCAGCAAACGAAACGAGAGGAAGAAGAAAACTCAAAAGCTCGGAGACAAAAACCAGAATAAATAAAGTAAGAAGCAAGAGTTTTGTGCCCTATTTATAGGGTGGATACCTAAAATGAGGTGCCATGTAATGATAAATGTTACACCAAATACCTTTCTAAATTTATTCAAATGCCTTTACATTTCTAAATAACATTATTACATGTTTGGAACAAAATGTTTTATGAGCGGGTCTTCCAAGACCTCAGTCGAAACATATTCCTTCTGAGTTAGCCTTCGGAGAACCACCGCCCCTCCTATCCTAATTTGATCTGATAAGTCAGCCTTGTGGTAGAACTTGAATTGGTCAATCGACTCACAAAGTGCTCTCAACCCGCGCATCACCTTGTATAGCCCATTCCGCAAAGTGGCGACCTCCACCCGCAAGGCCGCTATCTCTGAGCTTGGGTTGTCGGATGAGCTAGTAACTCCTGCACTAGACCTACGGCTGACCCTCCAGCTTACGACAGAACAAAATCCAGTAAGGTCGGAATGGTGGTGCTGCTGCTAGTCATATGGAGCTCTGGTGAGAAGCCGACAAAATTGGGTCGGGCTGCGGGCACTACTATTCACCGTCAAGGTTGAAGGGACGACAACCACTTTCTAAGGCTCGGCCATAACATTGGGTGTCGACTCAGCCACATCTTTTGGCGGTCCCTTGTCCAAGCGTTCTTCCAAACCAACAGACTTGTCTGCATTAAGATGGAATTAAAAAAAAATATATATTTTTGCGTACCCATAAACCTATCCATCGAAGAAAGGGTGTGGAAGGGCTTCTCTCCCCCTTGTACCAAGGCACTACCTTCTTGTGGTAGCGGTTGAGGAAAGATGTTGATCTTTGCTCCCACCGACCTCTTTCCACCCTCCTCGGTGTCTTCAGCAAGCAGAGCTCGTTGGCCCACAGAACTCGCACCTTGATCAAACTCAAGGGCCACGGTCTCCTGGCAAGGGACTCTCGACGCTTGCCCCTCCGGATTCCAGCACAGGTTCGGGCTTTGACTGCATCCTTTTCTCAACTCTATTATTCTCTACATAATCCTAGGGTCAGTAGCCTACCTTCGCTAGAACTTTGGGGTCCAAAGTAGCCCGGCTCGAACTCTCATCCATGGTGCAACTCAAAGATCCAAGGCAGAATAACGACAATGGATACAACGTATAGCCTATGACTCTATTTATAGAGCACTCGAGGCACGGAATCTAAGGAGAGTTAATTATTAAATTGATTTTCTTAATTCTAGTACCATTGAACGTTAATAATTTCTTTGTCCTTATCGTAGATGTCGCTATCAAGGAGCAAAAAAATTTGAAAAACTAATATGTATACACCAAAACTATCAGCACAAATCTCAAAGCAATCGAACGACCCGAATGACAGCTAGACGATTGAGGCATCCTACCGTCAAACAAGAAATCGCGTGATCAGAATCGACTGACACACTATTGTGAGAGATTCAATCTGCGAATCACTCCTGCAATCCCAACCGACCAAGGCGCATGCAAGAGCCTTTGATCACAAGCTAGTCGGCCGACCCGCTTTTATTACGGCGGGCGAGATCTTCATTCGACCAGGTGTCTCAACCGACCGACATTTACTTCAGAAGGCAGAGTCACCACTCAGTCAGTCATCTTAGCTAACTGAATTCAAGCAGACCAACCAACCAATTACCATCATATTAAAATTCAAGTTGTAATACATATATGGTACAAAATATATGCGATTAATTAGAGTATCCATTGTATTAACAACAGTTTCCCAAATTATTCCCTCCTTTCGGTAATTGTACAAATATGCCCCTATAAATAAGAGGCAAAAGACGGATAAAAGGACCTCTCCCCATTTTCTCTAATTCTTGACTTATTCTCTACTTCCTCTTTCCTCCTTTCTCCTTCGTCTGGTCCTAACTCTCGATACGTGTTCACAAACGACAATTCAGGATTCCATATATGGTTTTTACACTTCTACATTTCAAAATATAAGACATCTTGTGTTTATCAATATAAGGCAGCATAAAAAGAGCACAAAAAAATATAGATTATTGGAACATAAAAAAATACGGAGGCTTATTTTCTTTTATTTATTTATCATTTTACAGAAATAGATAGTATAAATATCCATGTACTAACTCATGGATAAGTAGCAACGATACAGATGCAATAATAGTACATTATGAGTCCAAAAGAAAATCTCTAAAACCCACAAGAAGATTCAATTAATTATAGAACATGCAGAAATTGTATATAATAAGAAATGCAGGAATAACAAACAAAGCTTATAAACAAAATATATACCTCAGAAATCCGGTAATACGACTCAAAGGAGCATGGAAAGGAAATGGTCTCAGAAAGAGATAGGCAACTATCAACTCAATCGCCTCCTCTTCAACAAAAGAAGAAAACAGGTGTGAAGAAACCCAGCGCTTTGCTAGCCTTCAAAATAAGTTGAAAATAATTAAAATGACAAGAAAATTAACACTCTTAATTTTCAAAATAAGTTGAAAATTAACACTCTTATATATATATATATATAT